AAAAAAAAAAGAAAAAGCCTCGAGGGGGGAGCCGTGCGGTGGGGGGGGTCCCGAAACCATCTTATAAACCGGATTGCACGGAGCGAGGAGGAAAAACAACAACAAAAAAAAGAAAGATACAAAATATCCCAGCGAAAGGCGACCGCCCGCCGGCTGCGGCAGCCGCCCGCCCCCCGCCCCGCGCTCCCGCTGGCCTCGGGCTGCCTTTGTGTCGGAGCCCCGCGCCCCAGCCCGGCGCAGGCGGCGGCTGCAGCGCGGCGCGGACCATGCCCAGCTCGCTCTTCGCCGACATGGAGAGGAACGGCAGCGGCGGCGGCGGCGGCGGAGGAGGAGGCGGAGGGGGAGAGACCCTGGATGACCAGCGAGCCCTGCAGATCGCCCTGGACCAGCTCTCCCTGCTGGGGCTGGACAACGACGAGGCGGGCTCCATTTACGACAGCGAGCCTCGGAAAAAGAGCGTGAACATGACGGAGTGCGTGCCGGTGCCCAGCTCGGAGCACGTCGCGGAGATCGTGGGCAGGCAAGGTGGGTGAGCGGCGGACAAAGAGCGCGGCCGGGCGCCGGGATGCGCCGGGAGAGGATAGATGGGGGCAGAACGCGAAATCCGGCTGCACGAGTTGGGTTTGCTAAAGGGAACGAGGACAAAAGGGAGCCCCTGCGCGGGTTTCGTCCCCCGAAGTTGGAAACCGGGGGTTATTTTTAAGGAAGGGGGACGGAGCGGGGAAGTGGAACAATGGGATTGAAGCATCCGCATAGGGGAGCGTGGCTCGCTCGGTGCGGCCGCTGCTCTTCACCTTCCTCAGAACCGATTTTATTTTTCCGAAAGGAAAGCACTTAGCAGGAACGCGGGCTGAGCAGCGGCTTTGTGCGGGCTGCTCGCATTGCATTGCATCGCATCGCATTGCATCGCACTGCATTTCATCTTTCCGGCCGTGCCGCCTCCCTGCACGCTGCCCTTTGTTGCCGCCGCTCTCGGGGCTGCGCGCTGGCAGCTCCCGGGCAGTGCCCGCAGCTGTGCCGCTGCCGCCCGCGGTGCCGCTGGGCGCTTGCCAGGGCTGTGGCTGCCGTCGCGTTGCACATCGCTCCCGGACGCGGTGCCAGCATCGCCCCGGGCAGGGGCAGCGCGCTGCGGGTGGGTGTGTTCCCCCCCCCTCCCCCAGCTGCACCCAAAGAATGGGTTGTAACCGGTTCTCCCCCGCGCTTTTTCCTTCCCCTCCCCTTCGCCTTCCGTCTCCCGCATCTCGTTCCCAGGTTGTAAAATCAAAGCTCTGCGGGCAAAGACCAACACCTACATCAAGACCCCGGTGCGCGGGGAGGAGCCGCTCTTTGTTGTGACGGGCAGAAAGGAAGATGTGGCCATGGCCCGCAGGGAGATCATCTCGGCGGCGGAGCACTTCTCCATGATCCGAGCCTCGCGGAACAAGAACACGGCCCTGAATGGCACCGTCCCCGGCCCCCCCAACCTGCCCGGCCAAACCACCATCCAGGTGCGGGTGCCTTATCGCGTGGTGGGTTTGGTCGTGGGGCCCAAAGGAGCCACGATTAAGCGCATCCAGCAGCAGACGCACACCTACATTGTGACACCCAGCCGGGACAAGGAGCCGGTCTTCGAGGTGACGGGCATGCCCGAGAACGTGGACCGGGCACGGGAGGAGATTGAGGCGCACATCGCCATGCGAACCGGCGGCATCATCGAGCTGACGGACGAGAACGACTTCCACGCCAACGGCACGGATGTTGGCTTCGAGCTGAATGGCACGGGCAGCCTGTGGAGCAAGCCCACGCCGCCCAGCATCACGCCCACCCCGGGCCGCAAGCCCTTCTGCAACTACCGCAACGACAGCTCCAGCTCGCTGGGCAGCGCGTCCACCGATTCCTACTTCGGAGGTGGCACGGGGGGCGGCGGGGCCCGCCTGGCCGACTACAGCCCCCCGAGCCCGGCACTCAGCTTCACCCACAACGGCAACAACAACAACAACAGTGCCAACGGCTACGTCTATGGCGGAGGTGGTGGGGATGTGCTCTCCTCCCCAGACTGCTGCTCCGAGCTGCCCTTCGACTCGCCACCTGGCTTCGACCTGGCACCCGCCCCGCCGCCCGGGGCTGCCCTCCTCTGGCCGCAGTTTGAGCGCGGCCCTGCAGCCGCACCGCCCTCGCCCGCGCCCTCGCCCGCCGCCGCCGCCTTCCCGGGCGCTGTGCCCGCCAATGCCAACCTGGCGCTGCTGGTGAGCGGCCCGAGGCGGGGCGGCAGCGCTCCGCCCCCGGCACGGCTCTCCCCGCCCCTGCACGGCAGCGCGGCGGCGGCGGGGCCCGAGCACCCGCTGGCACGCCGGGTGCGCAGCGACCCGGGCGGGCGGCTGCTGGCTGCCTCCTACCCGCTGTACGCCAACGGGCTGGGCGGCCATCTGCCAGGTCTGCCCTCCGATTCATCAGCTTCCTCCTCTTCCTCGTCCAGCTCGTCGTCCAGCTCGTCCTGCTCGTCGTCGGGCGTGCGGCGGAAGGGCAGCCGCGACTGCTCGGTGTGCTTCGAGAGCGAGGTGATCGCGGCGCTGGTGCCCTGCGGCCACAACCTCTTCTGCATGGAGTGCGCCAACCGCATCTGCGAGAAGACGGAGCCGCAGTGCCCCGTGTGCCACAGCGCCGTCACCCAGGCCATCCGCATCTTCTCCTGAGCCCGGCGGCCGGCTGGGTGCTGTGCGGTGCATGCTATACATAATAACGGGCGACTCCATTCTAGTGCTAGGCTAGTTTTTACACTGTACTTTAATACGAAGCTTCCAAATCTTCCCTCTTTTTTTTAAAAAAAAAAAAAAAAAAGAACAAAAACTGTTGAAAAAAAAATGAAAGTAGGAGATGCTTTGATGATGACAATGGTGTGTGGACTCTTAGTAAAACGTGCTGGTAGTTCCTAGGATGCGTATTACAAAATAATTAAATCTATGGGTGGATACTTTTCTGAATGTTCTTGAAAGGGCAAGAAGTTCCTGTGAAAACCATGATACTGCAGCTTTATCAAAGTTTAAAAAAAAAAAAAAAAGGAAAAAAAAAAAGAAACAAACTGTAACATATCTCTTATATATATTAAAACGTTTAAAGGTTTTAAAGATAAATTGCATTAATACAGATTGAAGTATTTTATTCTTTTTTGACTTGAAAAATTATATTTCATATTGCAAAGATGTTTACAAGTATTTTAATTTAAGTTCAGTGAACTTTTTTGTAGCTGGGTTAAATCTTTTTTATTTTAGTATGGCCTTATGGCAAAGAACACTGTATTATTTTAATATCACACAATTGTGAACGGAATTACAAACCATAAAATGTGTAATGCTTTGAACAGTATTCTGTTGGGATGGAGATTTTATAGGTTCAGAAAAAATCTTTTAAATCTGCTTCACCCAGCATATTTTCTATTCAGTGATATAAAGCATATTTTATTCTATATTATTACAAAAATGGAAATGTATAAACATATGTCAAAAGGAACTGTTGAAGCTTTCTAACATTTGTATAAATAGAATTCAGTGGAAATTACAAAAATTCTGTTGCACCACTATAGTTTTAGTATTTCTATTTTAATACATTTGTTTACCACTTGTTTATGTATATGTAGGTGACGTTACTTGAGCTTAAATGTACTTTACTGAGCAAAGTTTAAAAACAAAGTATATTTTATTTTATGATAAAGGGCCTTTAACCTCATGGTCAAATACTAATATTATATTTGCTGAGACAAGATTTGAAATTGTATCAAGAGTTTTATTTTTCTGACATTTAAAGTTCTACATAATAAAAGTAAAACTTAAGTAATGGTGCTACTTCATGTTTTTTTAAGTATTTCTATATAAATAAAATATTACAGAAAAAAAAAGTACGCTGTGTGGTGATTTGATTTGATGCGCTGAGAGTTTCTTCTGGAATTTTTGTTCCCCACTTGTATCACTGAGACGTGTTCTGAGTGTGAACTGTGTCATGTTCGTGTTGCTGGAACTCTTCAGCTTGTGAAGGCTTCCATGGTGGTCCTTCCTGTGATGATACTGTAATACATGTTTTTAAGGGAAAAAGAAAAAAAGATATGATTTCATATCTTATATATATATATGGGGCATATCCTTGAGGTTATTCCACGTGTTAAAATACTGTTTCTTAAGAATCTTGGTTGTGAAAAATACTTGGTTTCATATGTGTTGCTACATTTAGCAAATAGAGTACATGTAAGAAAGAAGAGCTTGCAGCTTCTTGGGTTTGTGATCTGAAAGCACAGAACAGGGGTGTGTCCTTTGTTGTAATGTGCTGATAGAGCTGGTCCTGCTGTGAATGCAGCCGGTCCTGCTCCATCCTTCCACAGGGTTTCAGAATCTCATCCCAATCTGAGTGTTTCCTAGAGCAGAACAAGGGCTTTTGTGTCTTCCCTGAGTTCTTGAAATTGCTTCTTGGTATTTGGCAGCTGTGGTTCAGATAATTGGTGCTGACAAGCTTATATGAATAAAAAATTTATTGCTGTGTAAAGTTTGTTTGCTTTCGATGATGCCCACACTCGTATAGGGGCAAAGGAAGTACAGAAGCTTTCTGACTAATGTGTCAACAAACCCACCAGGCAAACACTGCAGTATTTTGGTGCTGAATGTAGTCAACGTGTGTAAGTGAACTTGCTGGTTAAAGCATGTTAGAGCAGATTTCAGAAAGGTAGCTGCAGATCATTTTAAACGTTTGTTTTTGAACGTGCCGGTGCACTTTGCAGCAGGCGAGCAAAAACAACAAACAGAACCCAAACTGTGTAGCATATCTCGTATGTTTTACTTTGTGCTTAGCAGTGTATGCCAGAGCTGCTCCGCTCTGATCTCTTTTATGGAATCCAGAGCTGCTTGTTGGGTGGGAAGGGGAGGAGGGAGGATGCGGCAGGGGATGATGGGATCTCTTTGTTTGATTTGATTTGATTTTTGCTTCGTTCATTTAGCTGTGATTGTGGCATCATCTGAGTTACAGAGTTAAAATTCCTCACTGAAGTGTTGCGTTTGTCTTGGGAAGCTTGTCATTTGAATGGTGAACAAAAAATACAATGCTGTAGAATGGAGTCCAGAGAGTGGCAGAGATGATGTGCTTAAATGCAGAAGTGGCACGGCTATTGAAAGACCTTGACAAAATCTCTTACTTTAAAGGGGTCAGGAAGTTTAAGTCCAAATGTGTATATTCTTAACGATGAACATTTAGGAAACGTGCTCAACACGTGTCAATCCGCTTCTTGTTTCAATGTAAGCATCTTGTGCTGGTGTCTGGGAAACCTTGTGAAAATGGCTATAAATAAAAAAGTGAATTTGATCACTTTGCTTAATCTCCCACAATCAGTGACACCAAAAGGTAAAAAAGGTGAACGAAGAGTGAAAACTAAATTCTTCTCCTTTGTGTTCCCCTTAATGTACAATTCCAGGAGTCTCAGTGGCATTCATTAATGGCAGTGGCTGAGAGGACTGTGGGCACAGCAGTGCCCCTAAGGAGCAGCCCCTGTGGGGTGGGCAGCGAGGCCCTGATCTGGGCAATGCAGCCTCGTTCAGCATGGCTGATGTTAGCTCCCTGCTTCATTAACTGCCACCAGCCTCGTGCCTGTGCTCGTCTTGCAGGACTTGTTATTTTCATCACTAAACTGTGGCTAAAACGAAGCCAGTGACCTCTCCGCCCATGCCCCCAGCTCTCTTTTCAGCCTGCTGGCACCGCTGGGCAGTGCTGCTCCTGTTCTTTGTGTGTGCTGTTCTGAGGAGGGAAGATGGCCTGCTGGGACTCCTGTGGTGCCTTACAACAACTGCCAGTGCTCATTCCTTGTCAGCAACTGTTTCACCGGTAAAGAAACTGGTCTGCATTGCTCGTGCTTCTGTGTCTGATGAGCCAGTCAGCACCTCATGCCCTGCCCTGAACAGGGCCTGCCAGGCAGTAACAGTGCCCACCTGCAGCTCCTCCACCATCAGCCTTGGGCAGGGCTCATTTCTGAGGGCCTTTCTGAGGTGCTGCATCCATTACCTTTGTCTTCTTGTTGCTTCCACGCAACACAGTGTGTAAAATTCATTGCCTTTTGCCGATGGTGACCGGTGCCCCTCAGCAGAGCCAGCATAGGAGGAACACACAGGTTACACACGTGTGTTGCCCCTCAGTGCACATCCCAGGCCAGATTTATGCTGCAGGTCAGTGCCTCAGATTGCAGGGGCCATAAATCAGTGTGGAATTCGTCTGAGGGTCTGGGGCCATATGGTGTGTGTGAGGAGTGCCCACACAACCGCAGAGCACAGGCCCGTGTTTGGCGCAGGAGGATTTCAAAGCCTGAGAAAGGGGCAAAGTTCAGTTTCTAATTGAGTGCTGTGAAATACATATATGTATACGGTCAATGTTTGTCTTCCAGAACAAAGATCACTTTGTTTTCCAAGAGTTTGTGCGTTGGTGATGAAAGCTGGGCTGGGGGCTTCATCCCCCCAGGCTCCAGGCAGCCGTGTGGGGATGTGGGGTGCAGGCTGCACCCACTGCTCTCCTGTCCTCACAAATGTGTGGGTTTGGTTTCCAGTGCAAAAACACATCATTATTGTAAAAAAGGATATGTTTTCAGTTGTGAGAATTATTATATACAAAACCCTGAGCCTAATTATGTCTCTGTCCGTATCTGGTACTCCACAGAATTTGCATAACAATCAGACATCAAAGCTGGAGACATTTACTAGGAGAAAGGTCTTTCTAATATATTATTTTGTTGCCAAATAAATTATAATGATCAATTTGATCTAAATGTACTCTTTAGATATATATATATATATTGGCAAATCAATGAAAATAACACTTAGAAGCAAACTTTAAAGTTAGCAATAAGAATCTAGTTCAGTCAGGTACTTTAATTAGATTGCTTTTTGTTTGATGTTTCTTACTGCTCTCTCCCACCCTCCTTACCCCTCTTTTTTTTTTTTTTTTTTCTTTCCCTCCTCCATTTTCCTTGCCTTGCCATTCTGGAAATTGAAATGACAGCTTTGCTGTCAGTGAAAGGAATGGGAATTCTGCCATTGGAGAGGATGCTGGTGCGTATTGTATTTAATCAATCTAGAAATAGCAGAAAGCAATTATTCACCCTGCCTCTGCTTATTTGTGTTTCCTGTACTCTTTGTCTTTCTAGCAGAGATAATTTAATTAAAGAACAAAGAGTATTTTAAACCCAGTGTGCTTGAAGAGTGTTTTAGGCTGTATAAGCATTTGCATTTCTGATTTAACTTGTTCTAATTGTCTACCTGGCAAATGTCAAAGGGGCTGGGTTTGCAGGTAGATTAGCACTCTATCCAATGGTAAGCAATGTGAGAAGACACTCATAGCCACTATGTTCCCTTTCTTTCTTCTAAATGTATACATATGTATAGATACATATATATGACCATGTGTTCAGTATATGCCTATGTACATTGATGGCAGCTTAAAATCCACCAGAAACATATGGAGTAAGAAGTTTTTCCTTTTTCAGTATGTTAATGTTAATGGAAACTCACTGAAAAAAAAAAAAAAAAAAAAACTAGAAAAAATTTTATTGTAGTTTTATTACTTAATATTAAGGATTTTAATGAGATTTCACAGTTGGATATGTAAAATAATTGGATTGCATCTAATTTCTGTGATTGATTAAAATGTAAAAAGCTTTTTCTGGCTTAGTTTTAGGGAATTATATTCTAGCATCACGTGTTATATAGTGATGAAGTTGCATCAAAAACATTTAGGCTTTTGATATATGGATTATTTAATGCTACCAGTATGTGTGTTTCAGGTGCAACTCTATGACATA